AAACTACCTTATTTGCCCCTGTCTTTTTTCGTTATTGTTCAATTTCAATTGGGTTGCAAATCAATGAACGTTTCAATTTGTTGTAAGTGAAACTAACGCCGCAGGGTTGTCGTAATAACAAAGGAATGGTAGGGTTTTGCCAACCCCTATATATGTGGTCCCTGCGGTTACCTCATTCCGCGGATGAAACACAAAAGTGTAAAATATTTTACTTCTGGACGGCCGTGGTACCCCAGTCGGGAGGGTCTATTCGTGCAGAAAACTGCTATTCCTCTCTTGTTGCTCTAACACAGACAAAACTAACCGATGTGCAATAGATTATGAAAGACAAGCCCATGTATGGAAAAGTTAGTTTGCTAGCAAGCGTCTCATCTGATGGTAAGTTATCACCACCGTCTACTTAAAATTGACACAGCAAATAATTATCAATTTCATTGCCGGCATTTTTAGTTTTTCAAATGGTGCGATTTATGTATTAATTAGTTTTCATTGGTTCGAAAGTTAATTTTTACACTTACTAGACTGCTGTGACAAACCAAACACACGAGTGCTAATTAGCGTTGATGAGAAAATTAAGTCAGTTATTTGACATCAATTCCATAACTACTTTTTAGATCTTTCCAGATCTACGCTGGTCACTGTGGGTATCAAACCCAATTCATACGTGTCAATTGATGTTATCCATCATGTCCGAAGAACACGAATTAGAACGATTCAAATTCAGTCGCAAATAATTATTTGAGTACTGTTTTAAAATTGTTTTGTTCTGTTCCGATATCTGTACATCATCTGGTAAATAAAACCTGACACATAGATTTTATATTCATGTGTGTATGGAGTGGCTATATGTCAGAACCTTACACCGATTCGCCACTACGATCCACTAGAGAGTAACTGGGCGGACGGTACAGTTGTCATTGGACGATATTTACCCACCTTGGTTTCGCTCCGTTAAGTTGAAACCGCATTTTATAAACACAAAATGACTATTTAATGGAGTGGGCGGTTATACCCATTACACCAAAAACCACCGTTTACAAGGGTTATTGTATTGACATTGTAACGAGGTTTTGTTGTGCTTATAGTTCAAAATTCCCATAATTTTAAGTCTGGTTATCTATATTAAGATTGAAAATGCTCTAGTTATTTAATAAGCAGAACTGTCTACAAAGAAATTGTAAGCGTTCTATATACCTCAACCAGAATTTGCAATTTCTTATTCCAGTGATTTCATATGCTAACTCGATGGAGCCTGAGATCACTGAACCCACCACCAAGCCCAAGCATCCACCACCAGACAACATTATTGCACAGATACGCAATGTTGTCTATGAACCGATGAAAATAAGATTGTAAATATGTTCAAGGATTCTCACAAACCAACGCTTACTAGTTCTTATGGAATAAAACTTTGATTACAGACACTTTCGCCGTGGTATCATTAGGTGCAACAAAATTCATTCCCAACCTGTCACTTGTTTTCGTCAAAGGCGAATTTTAATACGAGCAACAATTCAAGAAGCGTTACGCATTCGTATTTAGGTTAATTACATCCATCTCATCACCAAGCGGCCGGCCTCCCACTTCGTGCGGCTATAAATATAACGGACCGACAAAATTGATAATCATTGTCGGGTTTATAGGCAAATAGCAAGGACTTTGATTTAAAGTTAAACATACGATGCGTTGAAAGCGGGAATCTTTTGAAATTGCATTTTGACCTTGACACGCAACAGGTTCTGCTGTTGCAAGAATGGGCAAGCTCGACCGGGTAAGTACCACGGCCTTATGGAAGACCGGTGTAAAGTGGAAGTATATACTTTAGCGTTTTGTATGGTGAGTGAGTTAGCCGGGGCTCACTTTTATAATAGTTGACACCGCCTCTATAACCCGTCAGGTGCTATAGATATCCATGGGCGGAGATAATAACTTAACATCAGGTGGACCACGTCATTTACGGAAGTTCAAGCTTTCCGTAACTGTACCGAGAATGGTACACCTAATTACCGACGCGGGCATTCCTAACGTTCCCAAACCTATTTCGGTGCCCGGGTCATTTGTATCCGGTTACGACATTGGCGGCACCGAGGGGCCGGACGAAGGGAATGACCAATTTACGACCGGAACACGATCGCCTGGCGCGCCTGGCCGATCGAGATCTATCTTATCCGTCGCACGGATCCGAGATTTGATCGGTCAATGACTGTCGATGACGGCGATCTGACGTTGTTTGTGGAACAAATGTAAGCGCGGATAACGTCAATAAAATAATGATTGTTCTGCCTTGGGCTCCACGTGTAAATTTCGGTAAGCTTTTAATTTGCCGGGAGTGTACGAATGTGTCATGAGTGAAGTGTTTTAGTTAATAAGGAGTAAATAATAATAGCAACAATCGTCTAATTTCCGTGAGTCCTATATCAATATATTTTATTTTGAAGCAATTATTGAACGGGCGTTTGGACACCAAGTATAAAACAAGATAGAATCATGCATATTCTAGTCGAATGAAACATTTAAATGCATCTAGCATTAATTATTGTACCTTATTTTTTTAATACCCTCATTCTATATGAGATACAACTGTTATTTATATTATAAATTACTTTTAACACACTAAGGAACAATTTTGTATATCATAATAGGTACGTGAGTAATCCCACATGACGAAATCATTAATGCGACAACCGTGGTAAATTGTCCGCTCGTCGTGAATGAGTAGAAATCGCGTGTTAAAGGTTAGTCTATTAACAATGATGATCTTTAATGAGCCGCTTGAATTAAAGGACGTGACCGAAATTAACATCGTTTGTTTTTATACGAAGTATAAATAAGATTGATTAAAGCTTTGAGGTACAAGATCCATTATTTTTAACATTTTTGCAGTTCATTGGAATTAGCAATGAATCAAAAATACAAACTGAAGTCAATATTTCTCGCTCATTCCAATCTAGGAAACTGACAATAATGATGAATAATTTGATTCCCATGCTCGAAAGGAAGGAATGATATAAAGAAGGTTAAAAATAAATTATAAGAGCATAGTTTATGTGAGAAAAAATAACGGAACAACTGCTAGGAAAGAAAAATACATGAATACAGTTGATGAAGAACACCAGATCTTGTATATAATACGAACAACTGAGCAATATATCAAATGATCCATGGATGTGGAGGAAGTAAAGGAGGTTTCTAAAGAACAAAAGTATTAAGCCCCAATCTCTGTTTGACATATAAACATTCACCCCGTGACAAATTTTCTATGAGACATAATAAGGGACGGGTATTACTTCATCATAGCCAAATGTTGGCAACAATTTGCCTTACAATTTTTACATAGCGTCTACGATTAAGGCTTATAGACACGGTGGGGTTACCATTTATGCCATTGTCATTTATAATCCGTTAAGATGGTAATCAAGCTCTAGACAGAAAGCGACAAATAATAACATGATATACTCGTAGAAATAAAATATTCATTCGACATAAATCTCCGCACCATAATTACAAGCTACACTTACTTAGGCCACACGTCAATATAAAATGGAACCGGTATCGAATATCTTATTAGATATAAAGACACAAAGTTAAACGTTACGTGGCGAGCGAAAGGCCCGGCACGAAGTATTAGATGTCATCGATAAGAGAAACGTACACCAAAATAATAAAGCCTTAGATCTTAAGCATGATAAAGATATTGCGCCTAATTGCCGCCGACACTTCGTGTTACAGCGGCCCAACAATGGCCAACCACACACGACGACCAATCACGTACGTAGCGATAATGCTTTTGTCTTTACATCAATAATAATAGTGTTTTTTCGTGTCCCGATGATTTGTGAAGACAGGACGTATTCACAATGAGAGCGCGGTGGGATGCGGGCGGGAGAATGGCACTTTATTATGGTTTGGGAGGCATTGTGGCGAGGCATGTGTTAGATGAAAAGTGCCTTGAGAGTTTCTATGACGTGGACGCGACTATGGTTTTTATCGAGAGTTCAACGATTGAATACGTTTTACTGTTAGCTGAATAATAAATTTACAGGCGGCAGTAAAATGTGCGACCGTTAAAGGCTGGATGAATAGATAGATGGTACGTCAATGTTGAACGCGGCGAGGGCGACAATGTAAAAAGCCAATCTCGAACAGAAGTACAAAGGAAGTTCAGTGGAAATAAGAAACGAGCCGATGGAGGATAAATAGACGAAGGGGCACTTGCTGCCGATTCGTCTGTTCAAAGAGTTCCAGTTAATGAATCAAACGACAGCCGGCTCGCAACACCTCTTTTGTGGCCGGACAAAATTGACTTTGACGGAGCGAACGGACCCAAAATAACCGATCGTGTCCAACCCATTGTGCGTGCTATAATTAGAGGGCTTGGAAATAAACACGTGGTGGCAATTATCGCGGCAGCGGGTTAAATGAGGCACCGAGGAGCTGTCGTTAATGGGTACAGTCGGCCGCGCGGCATCCGGCGACGAGATGCCTATGCATCCACCGTGCACAAAAGATCAGAAATCACAGATAGCACTAGAGACGCGCATCCATGAGCAGATAATTTATTGTGACCATAAAGAACTCCGCAATCACTATAAATAAGTTGTGTGTATAACGATTGTGTTGTTGAACGCATTGAAATAAATTTAACTGCGGCGCATCCATCTTCGCGCGAATGATTTAAGCGACTGAACGGACTAAAGGTTCGACAGCGGCATTTCTCACAACAAAGCACTTTTGACTTGAAACGATAAAAACAATGGTTATGTGAGTTAAGAGCACAGCTGAGACCGAAGCTGTGGCGTTTGAAGTATTAACAGTTCTTTAATTTAGTTGGATATTGAGCGGTCTCGGGCGAAGGTACGCTTGGGGGCATTAATCATTTCGGTCGTCCGAGGCGGCCGAGCCGCGTCCATACATCACGCACCCTTTGAGCGCGGAGTAACCCGTTCGTTGAGACGCACCGTCCCGCTATTAACGTCCATACCAACATTGTAAACGTCTCAATCCCCTTGACGACTTCCTGTCCTCCATTTGTCCGACGGCATCAGGTGTCGATCCGCTTCGTCAAGGACGCTTAGGTGCTGCCCGCGCTTGGGCGTGCGCAATAAATTAGCCCCAAGTAACGCCTTGTCCCACCTGCACTGGATTTTATGGGACCCGCGGCAGTAAACCGGAGCCGACGCCGCCGCTGCTCTAATAAAAAAAATAAACTAAAAGTGCCCCCAATAAAAAAACCCACTCGGTATAAATAGGCGACCGCTAAGGAACTGCCGTGATGTTACTGCGCAGCGCCAATAAAATAGCGTATTCATGAAGACGTAGTGCTTAATACCTTATTAATTGAGTATAGCGAAAAAACTTCTAACATGGGATTTTAATTCAACACCGCATTGTTACAAAGTCGGCGTTGAAATATTGTCGGGACAAAGACAAGCGCGGCGCTTGTGTGGTTATGCAATAAAAATGTCCTGGGGGCGTGCTACTCGGCGAATGCTTAATGAACCACTCTATTTTATAGCCTAGCCCGATAAATGGACCCGTCGTTTCGGAAATGGCAGAAAACATCAAGCGGCCGAACACTAAAGGACACTTGGCATGCTAGCGGGACTAAGGCAAAATTACGTATGTAGATAAATTCACATTGGGCGAAAACCTTTGCATAGTTAATACGTCTTCTACGTAAGTGTAAAATATTACGTACTGACAGGCGGAATGACTTTAAATACACTAATTAATTCGTAACCAAACTGAAGACAATGTAATAGTGTAAAAAATACATTACAGTACTAAATAATCTAATTCGCTCGTTTCCAAGAAATAGTTTGAAACATTACATAATCTAATGTTCAATAAAACCAGATGCCAAAAATTTCCAAACAAAGACAAATCATAGGATTGGAATATGTGTTTTAAGTTGTATACACACGTAACGTCAGGATCGCAAGCTAGTTTGATTATAAACGAAACAGCTTATGATAAGGCCAAGTCACTAATGAGTCTTAACAACCGAAAGTTTATTGCAGAAACTTAAATGGCATTTAATATGATATTAAGGTATAAACGGGAAAAGTCAGTAGAGTCTAATAACTTCACTAACTTTATGCTGGTTTTATCTAAAGGGAATGTAAAATGAATAAAAAAAAACTTTATGAACGCTGCAAACCCTTTTTATGTTTCAAAATAAGTAAGTTTTATATGCACAGGCAAATTAACAGAAAGAAAAGACCAACAGCTTTTTAAAAACAAACACCCATAAATATGAATCATTTTCAAGGTTGACTTTAACGTTTTACGTTTAAATTAACGTAAGTACTATTTTGGTTAATGTAAAGTTAAATACTAATCGTGAATCCGGAAGACATGGTATCGATTCCCGTATTGGCGAATAATTTTTCGTACTTTTTTTCTACAATCTTTAATCAAATTCTGTTCAATAGTTATATAGAACATAAATAAATGAAACTAAAGGAAAATATTCCGTACTGTATTCCGTCAAATGATACTTAAAGATTATCTACACTTAATCACTCCATTTCTATCACCTCTTTGTCCAAACACCAGCGCCTAGCTCAGATGCAGAAGATAGTCGACGTCTTTACTTAGACCTTCTTCACACAAAACGTTAATCTGTTTTCAAGGAACAGGCTAAGGCGAATTCCGGAATAATGATGGCCTATTTTAAAAACTTTCGGAGGAGGCCTATGTTCAGCAGTGGACTCAAACAGGCTGAAATGATGATGATGATGATCATGATGATGATGATGTTGATGGTGGTGGTGGTGGTGGTGATTTTAAAAACGTGACACTTACTGGGCGTGGTGGTGGTAGTGCGTGGCGTGGTGCATCGCGGTCGCCTGTGCCCCGGGGGGCGTGGCCGCGTGGAAGGCCGCGAAGGCCGAGGGGAACTGTAGTGGCAGGAAGCCGCCGCTGCCCGCTGTCCCAGGACCTCCTACCGACTCCCGATCAGGCATCATTCGCGGTCTAGCACTTTGACATCGTTCAGTCCTACGCTGTTTCGAGTCCGTAACGCATCACTTTGTATCACTTTGACATCGTTCAGTCCGTGGGGCATCACTTTGTATATCACTGCGCGTTCGTCAGGTCAGTTCGTTCCTTATCGCCTCCATCCCGTTCCTCGCCGCTTGGTCATCATAACGCGCACTTTTGGGCATCGTGAACGCGCGGACGCGCCTCGTCAGACCGCGCCCGGCTCATTTTCTCGGCTTGTTGCAACTGAAACAAAGGGATAATTGTGAGCAATTAAAAAACCCGGGTTTTGAATTCGGTGACCGCCTACCGGTTACCGCATTAAAGTTTTTATTCATGTGGCCGATAAAATTGTTAATGCGCTCGTGTTAACTCCGCGTGGCGGGGAGTTGTCGCTTCAATTGTCTTTAATACGTCTTAACTTTTTCGAGTGGCCAAAACGAATTAGCCGAGTCGACGGTGCGGGCGTTATTTCAATTAGGGAACATTAGAACTGCAAACAAAGTATAAAGCATGTGTGTATTTAACGACTCGATTGGCGCAGTGGTTAGTGAGCCTGTCTCTGGAGGCAGAGGGTGTCGGTACGATTCCCACCACTTGCAATATGTGTTTTTGTAGTGTATGGGTGTTTATATATCTGTATCGTTGTTTATATAATTATGTACTTATTTACAAAAAAGAAAAGTATGTTTACCAGTTACCTCGTGCCTACCCACAGAAGTACAGTGTAAAAGCCCTGAAATTTTCATACATTTATTTTCTAATTAAATTTTTTTCTTAGTTCAGTGCATTTTAATTAAATATTCATTAGTTCACATATGAGTCGAAATTGGTTATTATAATTCAATGATTATTATAGTCATCAAAATATTATTCACTAGAAATAGGGTAAAAGCTAATCCCCAACAGGAATAATTTTACACTGCATAGCTCTAGCGTAAGACATTATAACCAAGCACTTCTTACAAGGGACATTTAAATTTCACACCTCCATTACGAAACAATACATACATCTACATACACGCGACGTAGATCGAGAACACGTGCGTTGAACCCGAATACCGAAACTCGAATACAATTGTAATTTATAATTAAATGCACACACGAGATGCGGCCGTGCCCCGCGACTCTAAACCTAATTGCGAGCGACGTACGTCGTTATTACGCGCACAGGAATCTTCGCGCGCTAACAAGGTTTCCGCTAATGAATAAAACTGCAAGTGTGCGCACGGCGCTTAATGACCGTTGAATTTTGAGCAATGCGCTCGGGACAAAAACTGAAGCGACAAAAACTGGAGCGACAAATTGAGGCGCGACGGGCCTTATGGGGCCTTCGCGCCACCGTTCCCACTTACCGGGAAGCGGGTTGGGACCCATTGACGGCGGAGCGTTTTCGAGTTAACATTTTAAATCGAACGTAGTGCATTGGTCTTATCAAGAATTGACCAGAACAGTCTTACTACCGGTTTCTACAACACTGATCATCGTAGAAGTTAACTAATCAGCTGTCAAATGGCTTTTCAAATGTTATCTAAGTTGCCAAAAGGATGGTTTAACTCTCTGAAACATCTACGATGATTAGTGTTGTAGAAACCGGGAGAAAGACTGGTCAGTTCTTGATAAGATCAATGCACTATGTTCGTTTTAAAATGTTAACTTAAAAACGCCCCGCCCTAGCCTAGATCCTGTCCCTTTGAATAAAAACATTTTCATAATAAATTTATAATTTATTTTTATAATTGAATTATAAAACGTAACAATCTAGCGTAACAAAATTAGTAATTTAGTACGAGGTTCTTAATAATAAAGTTGGTTTCTTTTTAAAGAAACAAAATAAATGAACGATTAGCAAAAAACCAGCAAACGAAATAACTCAATATAAATATTTTGGAACGCAAAGAAATTTAAAAGACGAATAATGAGCGTTCGAAATTTAAATGTAAAAATCTCTCCATAAGCAACGATTAAAAGGAGAGTTGAAGTTATGAAATGATTGTTACATTAAAAAAAAATTCCATTGTGTTGCTCACCAAAATGGTCGGCCGTATACATTCAGATGCTTTTTACTTTTACGACTACTTAATAAGACGCGCGGAATTCTCTCGTACTTTCGCGTGCGGTCCGTCTGTCGGCGGGTACCGTTCCCGCGGCACCGGCGACATTACTGACTGATTGGCTGCTATGCAATCTATCTACTATGGGATGCATTACTCACATATTATAAAAAGTAACAGCCTATATTGCAACAGGCTAACAGACAAATATAGAGAAAACTGTGTAGAGGGTAACGGGGCATAGTTCACCACGCTGCGGTTTGGCAGACTTCACATATAATCGAAATTTTTATTATTTTTAAATATACTGGTTTCCTCACCATCTTTCCCTTCACCGATGGGCACGTGGTAAGTCACCAGTTTCATTGGTGTCGGTACCGGGCTTTGAACTATGGTTGCACTGAGCTATCACGGCTCTGAATACGAACTCCCTCATTTAAATAGTTTTTTAAATAGTCAATGTATTAAGCTAGCACCAAAACAAAAAAATATATTAAAAATAAGGACCTTGGTGCGGCATCAGGAGCGCACAAGCAGCACATTGGGACGTCGGAGACCTTAAAAAGACCAAAACAGACGCGGCAGCTCAATCAGCAGTTAACGCGGTTTAATGTGATCGGACGGAAACGATACATTTTGTAACGAAGCACTTTATTACACCATTTCGATGCCTCGCTCTCACATACGTCGAATACTATTCGACTAAGAGGCCCGCGTTTAGTGAACAACTACAGAAAAATTCCCTCCCCCGTAATTAATGAAGATGTGATTGTTTCGGACGTGACTCGAGCGTCGTCCCCCAATAAGGCTCCGCTCATAGTGCCGTAATGAATCGGCCGTAAACCCGATGTCGATATATCGATACTCGTTTTCATTGAATGAGATTTACGATGTTTATGTATGCAAAATTGCGGCGCGGTTCGGATGTCAGATTTTATCGGCCATTCAAAAATCGAATTGTGAATTTTGAATGGTTTCGATTAGTGTCGTGTTATGCTCTTTTGTGGGTTATGGCGTGCAGAGGCGTTAAGTGACTTCGTGGTTATGGGTTTTCAATTAAAGGCACAGCAGTGTTCATATATTCTTTTGGTGTGGAATTGCACCGTTCGCTTTAATCGGGTCGTAAATAATACGTCATTGTACTTAATAGGGAATGACAATGTACAAAAGGCAAAATCGGTAAAAACTTTCCTGAGGGTTTCGTATCAAGACTGACGATTCTATTCAATGCAAAATGTAAAAATCACAAAGTATAATGTCGATAGTAGCGTCAATTAATATTTACCACTCGCATCCCTATGCCTAAAACGAGCGCGACAATGCCCGGGTCGCATGCCATCTCTTAATACGGCCCTGTTTAATTACGAATTAATCGTTTTTTAGCCATCGAATTGTTCCAGCCTTCTCAGAAGGTTCTCGATCTCGACTTATGGTGTTGGCTGTATCGAGGTTATTCTAGATTTCCCAACAACTTTTTGTTAATATCATTGCCATGTTAAAAAGGGGGTCGATAAACCTCTGGCTCATTTCGTTCGTTCGATTGTCTTTGCGGCTCCATTATTCATGCCTGGAGTTCTCGGAATTTTACAACTCTATTTAATGTAATGAGTTATTAATGTGTCCAACCGCATGTTTCCGAGGATAAACAAAAAAGGTGAAACGCATGCCGGTGACGCGTGCAAGTGAGGTCGCGACATCCTCTCGACTTCGATTAAGCGATGCGAATTGTTTCGGTCACTCGAACTGACAAAACGTCAACACCACAGGACAAAACGGTCTGTTGTATTTACGCCGAATACTGCGTAATCAAAGATGTTTTAATAAAGACAACGCATATCCATACGACGCGGAATTTAAAAATTGTTGCGCTTTGCATTAAATGACATTAAATAAGTGAATGTCACAGATGTTGTAGAACGTATGATACGGAAAGAGATAGCGGTCTATAGAATTGCAATCCAATTACACCAATGGTAGGGCCACGCAGCAGTCTCGGCTGTTGCACGAATGGGCAGGCCCGTCCGGGTAAGTACCACGACCTCACAGAAGACCAGGGTAAAGTGGTAGTATGACAAATACTTTCGCGTTTCGTCTGGTGAGTGAGGTAGCCGGAGCCCAATTTTCAAAAGGTTGTCAACGCTTACAGATGCGTGTAGCACCCTCGGTGTAGCAGATGTCCATGGGCGGCGGTATTCACTTACCATCAAGTGAACCGTCTGGTCGTTTGGCAACTTTTCACATAAAAAACAAATAGTATAAATTGAATGCCGCAATTTCGGTGCAGTAGTGTCATATCTCTCTATTTGTATAAAATATCATTGTGCATATTGGTTAAATAAACTACTAACTATCCCCCATCAATATTAACTTCGTACAGTGTCTGAAGTGTTGGGAATTTTAAAACAAAATGAAATGCGTTAACTCGGTAAATAATTTCCTTTTAATCACAGAATATATATGTGCATATAGCACATATTAGTGCAGCATATATTAGAAAATAGTTGCCGATTGTGCAGATGCGTCAATCGATAATAGGTATCGAGTTCATGTAACGTGAACAAAACTTTTAAACTCATACTTTTACGTCAACACCAAAGCAATAAAACCGATGGCTTACAAAGATGCCGCAGCCGTTTCGGAAATAATTGGGAGTTGCCACGACCTCGGGTTAATTTGGTCTCGTCAACCCATTAACCGTATACTTTTGAATATACGTCTGCGATATAAATGACATCCACGAAATCGGACGCATGGCGATGCATCCTGTTTTGTATTAAGAGAGCTTTTGGACTAAGCTTTTACGGGCGAACTTGTTTCTCAAGGCGAAACTTTAAAAAAGATAAGTAGTATGTAATAAGAAAAGGTAAAACAGATAATTCAGGCGGCAGCGTGTTCTCTTAAGAAGAATTAGAATTGTACAAAAATTAACTGTT